ATTCACCCTCTCCGAGCTAACTTAATAAGAAAAAAAATGGCCATTGTGGAAGTACTCACCCTGACAGTGGCTGACGTACTGCGCCAGCGCAAAAGAATTTAAAAATAAAGCCAATTATAAGGAATGGACAATAGACAATGGACCACTGGAATCTGGAACCGAACTACGTAAAAGGCTTCCAGTGACTTCAATTGTCTTTTATGGTATTGATTTCTGGTTTTATAAAATTAAAATCTTAAATATTCGTTTTCTTGCTATCCATGATATCCGTTCCAACTGGAATTTTTATTAAAAGACTTGACTTTTATTTATTTAAAAAAATATATTATCTGATAAAAATGTATCAAAGAGCAAAGATCGAAGGATAAGATAATACATGCATGGTAATATTGTATTAATAGTCTTTAACAATTTTTTATCAATTTAGCAGTGCTAGAAAACTTCTTAGATTTGTTGAATAGGAGGGGTCCCCTAAAGTTCAATGATGGACCCTCTACTTTATATTGTAAACACCTACGAAAATTATATTGACAACAAACCAATTCCTTAGACGGAGGCTGTACTTTATCATGGACTTACCTCCGACAGAAGAATGACAAGAGCCCACATGTTAATATGTAACGGATTCCTAACAAACGACTCAAACTACTTCACACTCAAAGTGAGACAGAAACTTAATACTTACGCATACTTACTTACACCAATATGGACATACTCACAGAAAATATGGAGTGTTGTCAAAAAGACCCATCTACGAAAACTTCAAACATTCCAATTAAAAATATCAAGACTCGACAAAAGCACCTTGGTATATTACTAACAAAACTTTACACATAGATCTCCACCTGCGAACAGTTCACCAATGTATAATAACACTTAACCAACGCTTTTTTAAATATACATTTAAGCAGAAATACCAACAGCTAAATGAGATACGTGACAACTGCTCACAAACCCCTGAATATGAGGAGAAGACCTAAAAGGCGCTGGTTGAGAAATCTATGTGAATCAAGTGGGCACTGTCCTTCCCTATGTCTGACATCTCATTTCCTTTATAGCCACATCATTCGCTAATTACCAATATTCTACAGTTGGCAGATGCTAATAGATATTGAAGGATACAAAAATTAAAATTACTAACCAAAGCAGGTCATAAAGCAGTTATGAATACCAAAGACATTGGAACAGTTACAACCGCTTGATCGCATAATGATCAGCAGAGAACGACAGAAGTATATTATAAATGTCTCTGCCTATTATTTATTATTTCTCATATTATCATAGCAACAGCCATTAACAATTAATTAAAATTTTGTAATCCTACATTAATCTTGTTTTTCTATTCTCAATGAATGATTATTTTTTATTTTTATTTTTATTTACATTGCTGAAAATAAATTCTGTCAAAACTCTGAAGGGTACTAAATCCCTAATAAGATTTTTGTAACATTAAATCACTCTGAAATCAAATGACATCTTACCTATCAGTAAATTCCGGCAAAGCTTATTTAAGTATGCTTAACTGTAATTTAATTTGTAATATATTAATCGTTATTATACCTTCGGAGAAGATTTCAAGTTTTAAAGATGAATAGTTCTCTTTACGGTTTAATAAATAAAAAAGATGCAAGAGAAAGAATACTTATTCCTTGCAACACATAGGAAATAAAAAATTTCAGCTGTAGGTAATTGATACAAAATGCCATTAGTTTAATATTCAGTAAAATAAATGAACAATAATATTTTCACATTATTATTATTTTTAAATATTTATATTTAATAAATAAACATAACTTTTAAACCTTAACAAGTAAGCAGTTAAAAATTAAGAATCAAGTCTTCATTAATATAAATAATCAATATCTAAATATATTATATGCTTTTACAAACAATAATAAAAGATGATACAAAAATAATAAATAATTAATTAAATTATTTTACTAATCTTTCATTGACTGACTAATTGAGCTTTTCACAGTGTTAATTAAATATGCAATTGCTTTATCTACTTTTCTAATAGATTTTGAATTTTGTTTCTTTCGGTAACCACTAAAGACCACGTATATCTTTGGCCCCGCGAGTGGTTTTCTTACAGAAAAAAATTGGTTACGAAAGAGCAGATAGCCTGGAGGGGGTAACCCAACCTCACGTTCCTATGGACCATGGTGTAGCGGTCCTTAGCCTTCGCGGCCAATTTCACAGTGCCCTTCCCACCGACTCGGTCGGATTCAAGGACATTGCTAAATCAGTCTTGATCCATGGATTATGGCTGCTCAGAGTCTGCAGGAAAACAAGGACCTATTTTTTTCCGAAAAAGACCGTCCATGTACCAAACCTCTGAACCGCTACTGAAATACTGCAAAACCACATTGCGATTTCCGATTAAATTACACAAGGAACGATCGTAGATTCTGCATATAGTCTAATATAAATAACGTCTGTTACGTCGGTCAAGTGCTAAGCCATTTTTTGTATTACTTCTTCCCAAGACTTTAAAGTATATTTGTATATGGATCTATATTTTAAGTATAGATCAAAATACTTGGGATATTAACGTAATTTTACACATAAGCTCCTCATTTTCAGAAACCTAACTAAGGAAACTTAGTTTTCACCAAAATTAACTTAATAATTTGTAATCAACAAAGTGTCGATGATCAAAAGGGAAACGAGCAGAACTTGGATCCCAGACGCCGACCTGAGCGGTGAAATCATGAAATAGATAATTACTTAAAACTTTTCCTACTGGGGACTCGAAGGCGGAGAATTTGTGAGAAAGCTTTCCAAGGTTAGAACAATAATTAACTTGGGCATTGAACTTTCTCAATAACAGCTCGCCTTGAACATTATCTCAAGTAACCAACGTCAATAAGTTTTTTGTTTAAATTTTGAGTACCTAGAGTTCTTAAGCACCTAAGCGGGACATGAACTGTTATCATATCCATTACTCTGAAAGAAAAAAAAAAGAAATGGCAAGGAAAATTTCGAATAGTGTTATTTTCAGTCTTTTAATGCTTTTCTAAACGTCAATGAAAACACTCTTTCCTTCTTGATAAGGTAACTATTAACGGTTTGGCACTATTAATGGTATCACCAACAACAATTTGCATATTGAAAGATAATAAAGGTGGTTGCATAATAGAAATGTAATAAAAAACGACCCCGAGGATTCAATGCCGATACCACCAATGACCTTTGACAATTTGCCAATACCAATTATTTATCACGTTTTATTCTACTCTTGTGATGTTTAAAAGATTGTAAGGTTTGAAATATATAATTATTTTTTCCAAATAATTATAAAATAACGATTGTTTTTTTTATCAAGTAAAATCTTCGATGTTCTCTGTCACAAATAAAATGATTCCTAATGGACCATAAATGTCCTGTATGGTGCTGACTTGACTAGTTTAAGGTACCTCCAGTTTCATCCAAATCCACTATTTTCTAAACTTGCTTCCTCTTCCATTCGTGATTAGTTATTCCGTGGAACAGACTCCTTTTTGTCAAATGATTGACATCCGTCTAAAACTTCGTAAATCTTATCATAACTTACAATTTTTTTTCTACAAAAATACTCAAAATGAGGCGTCATCTCAATAACTCAACTCGCAAACTCAATTAAGTACTAAAAACCCTTGAATACCTATTTGTTTTTCGTTTGAATCGTAAGATAATTTGATCACAAAATCAAGAAAAACAGGCGACCTACAAAAATATTGGGTCTTTTGGCCAATATAACCTCGTTATTTTGACATATTGAGAGTGAAGGCCACGCCAAACGGTCCAATATTTTTGTAGGCCATCTTTATTCTCGTTTTAGGATTATCTTACGATTCAAGAAGGAATCAACTGGTTTTTCAGGAGTTTTTAGTTCTTAGACATAGTTAGCCTATCTCCAGATTTAAAAGACTCAAATTCTGAGAATTTCGATAAATAAAAAAATAGTAAATCACGATGAGATTGAGCAGTTCACGAAGTTTCAGGCGGATGTTGATAATTTGATAATAAGGGATCTCTACCACGAATTAATCCTATGAATCTGAAAAGGTGATGACTTCGGTACCTAACCGTTATTGGGGTGGAGCAGATGGGAAGTATTTAACCAATTTACTCTTACCTAAAACCTGTACCACTACGCCGCGAAGGATCTTGGGTTCAGAACTATTTATGGAAAGCACTATTATTCTTGGTCTACGGTTGTGCAAGGAATCTCCTTGTTGTGACCTTAATAAATTATTTTAATTAAGGGTACTCACTTTATAGAGGCTGGGTGTGCCCCAGGAGGGTCTACCTACCCAGGGTCGCCAATGGAACAGAATAAATAATTTTTCTGCCATGAGCCGGGATTCGAACCTGGGACCATTAGCATTGGAAGCTCAGTGCCCTACCACTGAGCTGCCCCACTCACTCCCCTTATATAAATATTACGAAAATCGACACTTTGCCTACTGCACCAGCAGCTAGTGAAGTATTAAATAAAACCCATAAATTTCTTATTTTCATCTTCATCCACTATTGACAGCAATACTTTCTATCGTTTTTTGTTGATTAGCCAGCGTTTCGATAATCACAGTCCGATACACGTGCTGCTGAAGTTGCATTCGGATCAATCCCCACTCTATCCAGTTTTAAGATCGCTTTTTCCAAACAAGAAATATTTTCCTAAATGCTATAGCAATAGCTTTTATTATTTTTTAAATGTATTTTCTTATACTAATACAATACTATAAAGGCATAATTGTTCTGTTACTGATAAAGTTTTGTATGCTTTATACTTCAGCAACTTTATACTAAATCTACTCAACTTTGTAAATTACTTAAAAACTATTTCCGTTTAGACTGTATTTTATGACATTAATAAAATAACATAAATGTCATCTCAATGTATAATGCGTATTTCTAAAACATGAAATCTGATTTCAAATTAAGCATATATTCCTTCTTTATTTTCGTTTACTGCTAACATAATAATACGTCCGACATTGAAATGAAGCCGGATGGGATTGCATACGAAACGATATGCTGGCAATGACAAGAAGAGCGAACATGACATTCGCCGAGGACCTTGGACTACAGAGGTATCGCCACTCATCAACCTTGGCAGGGACGCAGTGAAACTCCATAACAAGCCATTGAATGGCTCCAAGGCGTGGAGTGATAACGCCAGGAGTCAGTAACAATTACTATATTGGCTGCTGTGCAATTACTGTAAATTAGTTATACTTATTCCCAAAATAATTATCGTAATCTCCAGCAAGGAAACGATCTGTATAAAGGCCCTTTTACATCGTTAGGTTGTTACAGTTTTATACGCAAATTCATTTAGGTCAAGAAACTTAATTGTGTAAATGGGTTTCGCCGGTGAGTAAACCAACAAGTTGGAAAATCTTGACCAAACTATAGCAGCACACATTGTTTTCAGAGAATATTCTTCAAAACATGGTGTACATCCCGCCACTTTGTTTATAGTGTTATGCTCAGTGTGACTTGGCATTTTGTTCTTTTTAAATTCTTTTTATACTAACAATATCGGATTGGTCACATGGTCAAGTTTTAAAATTGATTGAAGTGATATAATATAAGAGCCATACAATATCTGAATGGCATTATATGGCTTAGGTTAACTTTTTTTTGTTATCCTTGAAGTTAAACTTTCTTAAATATTTCCACCCATTAATGAAACAACACATAAATGCAGTTGGATTAATGGTGATGGAAATTCATTCTTCATTTGTTTGTTTATAAAATATAATTAGAAAATTTGATGTCAAGTGGTTAGCTTCAATGATTTTTCTTGATCATGGCCAATATTTATTAAGTTTGTGGTGAAGCAGTAGATCACTAGGCCATTTTCTTTTTAATCTGCGCCAAGCAGGTAACATGGAGGAGGAAATGTATCGAACTAATTTTGTGTTGAGAGTAAAAGAGTGAAAAGGGTATTTTTCGTGGATGTAAAATTTAACTCTTGAGATGTTTAAGTCGTGTTAAGTCTGATTTGAAACATACCATGGTACTTTAACAATTTTTCGAAAAATTTTGGATTGTGTTGTTTGTTGTTTATGTATGATTGTTTTGGTTTAACTCCATAGTTGTGCGGCGTATGCCCATATTGTTTCGTAAGTAAAGTAAAGATCTGTAGACAAGAAGTTATGAGAGATATTTTTTAATACGAATAAACAAACACAATCGAAGTAATGATGCAAGGTGAGCTTACTTACTTGGTATACTTAGCGGGAAAATATGTTAACTATAATTTCGACTTAGTTCAAGAAACTTGAAAGTGTAAAAGGGTCTATAAATTCTCTGATCTTCCTCGGTGGTTGAAAACCAAAGTACATAACTACAATTTCTAGAACAAAGATTTAATCGAGAAACTTGACAGTGTAAAACGGCCTGAATATAACTGATCATGAGCATGTTCTCCCAAAGAATGTAGCATATGCTGGATGGTTGAGTTTTATTTTCTTTGTTAATCAGATTTTCTTTTATTTTTCCATCCAAGACATCCCCACCCGTCGTGGACCCCTATTATCCTCAGTCGTGATGTCCTAACAAGAAGATCGGCCCATATTATTAACGATCGGCAATCATCCCTAAAGAGAGCAGTCGCGGTAAATCCAAGGGTGACGGACATCGGCGGTTTTTACGACGACGGAGGTCGTAAAGGGGGACCCAGTGACCTGCCGTAAACCATTCCCTCATCATTGTCCACGTCCATCCCCTAATTGGCTCCTCTCAAAAAAGGACAATAAGCCACCTCATGGAAAATTTTGGTAACCTCAAGTTCTTTGTTTTTTTTATCACAATTAGTCCATCGGATACAAAAATTATGTATTAAAAAAATCAATCTTTGAAGCAATCTTCTGAAACTTGTGAAAAGATATAATAAAAATATGTTAAAGTAAACTCTGAGCAGAGAATTTTGATTAATATAATTAAGATAACGATTAAAAATAAAAACCAAAAGCTGCCCAATTGACTTTATGCTTGTTTTTAACTTAAATACTTACTAATTTTAATTTGAGTTAGTTAAGTATATAACTTTTTTTTTTTTAAATCCTCATTAATTTCGGTATTTGTAGACTTCGGTATATTCTCTGTAATGACGTCGAAAATTATCAGTATGAGAGATTTGGAACAGCGAGTAAAATTTATTTTGTGCTGATTCTGTGGTGAATACACTGTGTTGGTCCAGTTTCCAAAAATGCGCTTCGTGTGGGCATGTGCTGCGCTACTACCTTGCGGCATTTTGAGAATCCTGGTTCACTACACTCGTTGTACAATTAGGTTTCATTTATTTCCATTTTTTTTTTTTTTTCAAAATTCTTGTTTTCATGAACTTTCGCTTGTGCTTTAATGTACTAGCTCTGGAATGACCATGTTGACTGAACCAACACAGTTTATCCACCACGGAATCACAATAAACTATATTACTTAATAATGAAATTCAAGTAGATCGCAGAAAAAGAATTAGGAGAGTCAAAATAATGCGGAATATGTGCAAAATAAGACCATATTTTCAGGTGAACAAAAGTAAGTATGGAAAGTTGTTTTTGAGAATGGACGATCCTGGCTAGTTGTTTTGGAAGACTGAAGGTATAATTGAAACCCTGAGGTCATTAAAATATATGAAAATTCTTCGAAGCTACTTAATGCAGTATAAACAAATTATTTAATTAACTACCTTGCTTAGTTTGAACTTCGCAGAATTCACTATATGTTCAGGAATGATGTTTAACATTGTGAGAAACTGTTTGTAAAATAACGGAAACTGGGGAGGGGAGGGTATGAGAAAGTAAATTAATTGAAATTCACATTTTTAAAATAAAATTAATTGAATAAGATTTTCTTTGTACGAAAATCGGATTCCAATTTTAAATAGCATTTGTAACTAACATCAAAGCCACATGAACTCGTTTTTTTTTTTCAAATATATTAAAAAGTAACAAAAGAAAAACTTAATACATGTCGAATACCTTACAGTAAAGCCTACAAACGTTCTTCAATTTCAATTTAATTTAAAACATGAACAGGTCATTTTCTATTTCACTTTCAGAATCACAATATTTATGTTAATTACTACAGAATTGTTCCTCATACAGTCTCCTATATTTTTTTGTTATTATAACACCCTGAAAGCAGTTAAGGTTACAAAAAAACATGTGTGAGACTGAGAGAAAGTAACGTTTTATCAGAAATTAAATTTATCAGACCCTAACTTAAACAGTTTATACAAATCCCAGCAATTAAATCATATAAGTTTACAACTTCAAACAATAAATAATTTTTTTTAATTGATTTAAAATAACATACACCTGACAGGTACTGCTTAAAATAATTATATAGTATGTCAGATTGATGAATAGATGCAGTGCTTATTTAAATTAGAATGCAACGTTGCTATTAAAGTAATTGATATTCATAGTTTCCGTTATATTTATATGATACATAATATAATAATTATTATATCTATGCGTGTGTGTAGCACAGTGCTTTCGGGCTGAACCCCCTCCCAAAAATGGTAAAATATTACCATGTTTAACAAGAAAAATATTCAAAACTATCTCTTAAAGTATTCTTGATCGTGTAGTTATATATAATATGACTTCAAGAACCACTTAAACACCATTTCATAGAGGTAATTTCTTTTTTTTTTTCCAAATTAATTATCGTTATGTGTATATGAAAAAAAAAATCTTTCGGGCTAAAGCTAGCCCCCCCCCTCCAAAATTAAATCCTGGATCCGCTAGTGATGTGTAGACTATATATATATATATATATATATATGTATATATATATATATATATATATATATATATATATATATATATATAAGGCTTGAAATTTGAATATATTAAGACAATTAACGCAAAATAAGTAATAATAGATAGTAAAAGAATTATACCGACAAATCACTCATTTTATTTAACAATTCTCATTTTTATTTAAATAATGTTTTGCATATCTATATATAAAACCTTCAGAATCAAATCGAATGCATCATTTTTCTTTCATTAACGTTATAACATTAAAATTATAACTTGCCTATTATAATTTGTTATGAAGGCTCCAGAGTAATTAAAGTTTTTCTTTTTTTCCTCTATCCAAAATAAGAAGCACTGTTGCTTCTGTACTGTGCTTTGGTTTTGCTCGAACACTTTTCATGCAGAATGTTATTTTATGGGGAGTGGGGTAGCTCAGTGGTAGGGTACTAAGCTCCCAACGTTAAAGGTCCCAGGTTCGAATCCCGGCTCATGGCAGAAAAATCATTTATTCATTGTCCGTGGGTCGACCCTGGGTATATGTAGACCCTCCTGGGCCACACCCAGCCTCTATAATGTGGGTACCGTTAATTGAAATAATTGATTGAAGGGAAAAACCTGGCGCTTGAGCGTGATCTCGGTCAAATCACCTCCTTGCACTACCGTATACCAAGAAACAGTGCTTTCCCTAAATAGTACTGAATCCAAGAGTACTGGGTTGTAGTGATACTGGTTAATTCTATTTTATGTTTACAAAAATATTTTTACAGTATTGGTTTAATTTCCTGTCCCGATTTGATTTTTAAAACTATCGCTTTGAAACCACGAACCTTGTAGAAAATAGAGATTATTAGTTGGCACAGTTTTCTTCTCAGCACGATCCTGAATAACATGATGAATTAGTTGACGTTTGAGTTTTAAAACGCGAGTGCACCTCGAAATGTAAATATTTTCTATATTATTTCTCAAAGATTTAAATCAGTTTATGAAAATTAAATGGAAAAAAAGTTTTTATTAACCATGTCTCATTAGTCAAGAGTAACTACAGGTTTTGTTTTATTCAAATGATCAGTTCTATTTTATTACAGTAACTACTCAGTTACTATTCCAATCCTCGGTCCGTTCTTCTGATTTAAAGAGAATTGATACTGTACATAAATAAATTAACTATCCAATTAAACAAAAAGTTTAACTTTTTATTATTTTCGATCACATAATTCTATAAAGCATTATTCGAAGTCCCGGAACTTAAAAATTAGAATCTACAAAACCATTATCTTACCTACAGTTATTTATGGGTGCGAAACGTGGCCGCTTACATTCAGGGATGAGCAACGTCTTTAAGGTTTTTGAAATTCAAGTATTGCGCAGAATATTCGAACCGAAGAAGGATGAGTTAACCGGTGAGTTCAGACGGTTATACAACGCCGAATTGCGTGAACTGTATATGGTTAATATAATTGAGGTGATTTCATCGCGGCGAATCAGATGTCATTGTAAAATTGTTAGGCTTAGTAACGAAAGAATTCCTAAAATGATAATATTTTCTGTACCGAATGGTAAACGTTCTAGGGGTAGGACCGAAGCGAGGGTGGGAAGATTGCATTAAAGGCGATCTGAAGGGACTGCTTTGGACGATGAACGATGGAGAGAGGTGTATAATAAGCGATTGGTGATGTCGGTATAGAAGCTTCGGGTTCGCTAAGCCTTATTATTATTATTCCAAATACAGAAGCTTGTACGAGTTCTATCCGGCTAAGTCATCTAAACTGAAAAACAATATCTGAACTAAGGTTTCTTATGGAATTTTACGGTTCAATAAAATTTAATTACTATTTTTGTTTTAGATTCAATGTTTAAATGGCTTTAGCGAACAACAAAACAATAACAACCCGCGATAAAAATGCATTACATGTAATTGAAAAGATAAGGGAGCATATGCCGTCAGTAGCTGTTTGATGTGGAATTTAAAGTGTTACTGAACCCCGCGATATCGTTCCATGTAACATTATCAGTTTAAATGATTGTTTCATAATCGCGAAGAGGGCATGGACAAGTGAATCTGATTAAGATACTAAAATCTTAAATTTATATGAAAAAACAAAATAACCAATAATTAACCAAAAAAATAACCTACTTGGCAGAAAGCGTCTTCAGAAACAATTTATTTTTCTATTTTTTGAATTCACACGTTATAATCCGTAGTACAGACACATTTTTATCGAATTATTAACATCCGCTTGAAACTTCGTAAATAGTTTCATCTCAACTATTTTATTTACGAAAACTCTTGGAATTGGGGCGTTTTCATCTAGTTAATTGGGTACTAAAAACTCGTAAATACTCATTTGCTTTCTACTTTGATCGTAAAATAATTTAATCACAAAATCGAGGAAAAAGATGGCCTACAAAAATATTAAACTGTTTGGCGTGAGCTACACCCTCCAAATTTCAAAATAACAAGGTTATATAGGCCCAATATTTTTGTAGGGTACCTTTTTCATTGATTTTGTGATCAAATTATCTTAAGCTCAAAATAGAAAGCAAATGGGTATTTACGAGTTTTTAGTACCTAATTAAATAGACAAAGTTTGCCCCCCTTCCAGATTGAAAACGGTTTTATAAATTATTTAATGAAAATTTACAGTACAGTACTTCATCCTTTACAATTTTTAGTTCTTCCTATTTGTAGTACGTACTTGGGCAAAAGGCATTTTAATTATTATTTTAAAATGCAAAGTATAGTATAGTGTATTTTAATTACAAAGTATTAAGATTGTTTTCATTATATTCTCTAAATTTAATCCTTCTTTTTCCTTTGTAGAAAACTATCAAAAAATATAATAAAAGAAAAAATAGGCATGTTTTTTTCCCAACTAAACGTCTACCGGCCTACCTTTATTTAATAATTTGATGAGAAGTGTAAT